GTACATTAGCCATATGACCCTTTTGGGATATAAGTTGCAGAAATTTATTCCCAAAGTAAAATTTGTATCTTAAATTCACTTATTTTTTGCATATAGAAATTTTATTTTTATGCAGACACATTTTCAATCTTTTATAGTTTCTGAATTTTGGATCACAGGATGGCTTTTCCCATGCCAAGGTTATAAAACAATTATCTCACTTTCTCCTTAAGTCTTTTTTTATAATTTTATTTTGTATATTTAAATCTTTAATTCATTTGTAATTCATCTGTGTATTGTTTGAGGTTTGAATTCAACTTTTTTTTTTTTTTGAGACAGAATCTCACTCTGTCGCCAGGCTGGAGTGCAGTGGCACAATCATGGCTCACTGCAACCTCTGCCTCCCAGGTTCAAGCGATTCCCCTGCCTCAGCCTCCGGAGTAGCTGGGACTACAGGCACGTGCCACCACGCACAGCTAATTTTTTGTATTTTAGTAGAGATGGGGCTTCACCATGTTGGCCAGGACGGTCTTGATCTCCTGACCTTGTGATCCACCCAACTTGGCCTCCCAAAGGCATGAGCCACTGTGCCCAGCCCAATTTTTTTTTCTGCATGACTTCACAAAGTATTTCACGAATAAAATTTCTAATATTTTACCATCTTTATATTTTCAGGATAAACTTCTATGTTATAATGTAATATTTCAATAACTTTCAAATGTATATGAGTGTACACACACACATATATACACATGCATTGTATGTGTGTACATAGATGAAAATAGGTATAAGCATAAACCCTTTTATAATTTGCTGAAATTTTTCTTAGGATTTCTGCCTCTGGTTTATAAGTGTGATGGGTCTATATTTTCTCTCTCTTTCACTATCCTTATTAAATTTTGGTAATAAGGTCAAAATAAACTCATAAAAAGAATTGTGTCACTTTTCCTCTTTTTCAATTCTCAGAAACAGTTCTTAAAGCCATCTGGGCCTGGTGTTTTTTGTCGGGAAATATTTAACTAGTGAACAAGTTCTTAGTTACGACTTTTATATTTCTTCTTGAGAAAATTTTGTTAATTTCTATTTTTCTGTGAAATAGTTTTTCATCTGACATTCCAATTTTTCAACTTTTTTTTTTTTTTTTTTTTTTTTGAGACGGAGTCTCGCTCTTGTTACCCAGGCTGGAGTGCAATGGCGCGATCTCGGCTCACCGCAACCTCTGCCTCCTGGGTTCAGGCAATTCTCTTGCCTCAGCCTCCTGAGCAGCTGGGATTACAGGCACGTGCCACCATGCCCAGCTAATTTTTTGTATTTTTAGTAGAGACGGGGTTTCACCGTGTTGACCAGGATGGTCTCGATCTGTTGACCTCGTGATCCACCCGCCTCGGCCTCCCAAAGTGCTGGGATTACAGGCTTGAGCCACCGCGCCCGGCCCCAATTTTTCAACTTAACACCATCGTCTAATAATTTTAAAAGTCACTATTGCATTTTTCTTTCCTAGTATTGTTTATTGATGTCTTCCCTTTTTTTGCCCTCATTAATTTATTTAAAAACTTTAGGGTGCTCTGACTCAGTTTTTGTGCTGGTTTCTTGAGTTTCAGGATTGGAGTGGGAGCTAATGAAGAAGAGAAAATGCATACAGCAAGAACAAACTTCAGGAAGGAGTCTTCTAATACCCTGGGCAGGTACTGCCTATTTTGATTGGTCATCAAAAGCTCAGTTATTCCTTGTTTTTATCAACTGTAAAGTAGGAATATATTATAGTATATTATAGTATCTGCATGATACAATGGTATGAGGATCAAATAAATTAATACAAAACAAACGTTTAAAATATTGTTTGTCACATATAGAGCTGTCATTGATATCATTAGTTGTTGTTATCATTATGTGTAAAGAGGAAATAGAGTAACAAACCCAGGTTTGAACTAGGACCAAGACACTAAAAATATGTTGGTTGCGTGTCCTTCCACATTTGGTCCCTAGGTCCCCTCTCCACCTACCTGGCCATCATTGTTCCTCACACTGAATGCCCTCCCAGTCTCCATGGATAAATGTTGTATTACCATGAAGTGAAGAAGAATGGCTGGAACATGGCCACATCTAATATTTCACAGACTTTCTGGAAGTTACAGTCAAGCCTCACACAATCATATTTAACATAAAAGGCAGGGCCAGGTTAAAAGATAACATAAGTGTAACCTTATCTTAATGCTTTCTAAATGATTAGTTTATTGAGCATTTAACTGGCTAAATATTTTTATATGATGTACAAATTTATATGATGTATATTGAATGAAAAATATTAAAGCCAATAGATAAAGTTTTGCTAGAAAGAGGAATCATGTTATTTGCTTTAGTGTTTAGGTTAAAGTTTATGTGCAGATATTGGCTTATCTGTCATTGGGTCTATTCATATAGGCATGTTGACCAATTGGCCTTTCCAGAACTGTGTTGTCCAATAGCATCACCACTAGCCATATGTGGCTACTGAAATTTAAATGAAAAAAAAATTAAGTAGAATTAAAGAGTCATTTTTTTCATGACACTGAGCACATTGCAAGGGTTCAGTAGCCACATTGGCTATTAGCTACAATATTAGCCAACTCTAAATTATAGAGCATTTCCACCATCCCAGGAAATTCTAATGAATACCTCTGTTCTAGAGGGAGTTTCAATGATAATTAAAATAGTAGTAGTTCCACCACCAAAGTACTAGTAGTTCTTGAACAAGCGCCTCAGGGAACAGATCACCTTGTTCTTCCTAAAGCTGGCTGAATGCCTGTGGTTATGGCTAGCATGATAAAAATAATTTGTTCTTCTGAGCAGGTTAAACAAGTGCTTTGCAATGTTATTTATCCTGAGAATTACCCTGGAGATTCCAAAATTCAGGTATTATGAATTAGTGAAGCCCAAATTAATGTGATTTATTATATTCCCTAGGTCAATCTTGGAGGCTGAACTTTTTTTCTTTTTATTTTTTTTTTTTTTGAGATGGGGTTTCACTCTTGTTGCTAAGGCTGGAATGCAATGGTACAGTCTCGTTTCACTGCAACCTCCACCTCCCCGGTTCAAGTGATTCTCCTGCCTCAGCCTCCCGAGTAGCTGGGATTACATTGTTCCTGGCCAGAGGAAACCTCTGACCCCACTTCCACCTTCTGCCACTTACATACTTGTTGATATATGCATCACCTATTTCCTGGTCACTATCAGCCCTAAAACATGTGTCAACTTTGGCCACATTCCTAGAATAGACATTGGGCTTGTCATTGCTTCTGCTCTGAGTGACCTCTTTAGCAAAAGCACCCCTTCTCCAATAGTATTTGCCAGCCAGCACCTGGCAAGAATGGATAACTTAACATGTTTCCTGTTGTATATGAATCAATTATCAGATCTACAAATGCTGAATGTGTCAAAGGTGGAAGAACATCCTTCTGATGTACTCACAGCAAGTCACGAGATGCTGAAATACACATGACTCAGAATGAGGACCAGGGGACCATGAGGCTGTGTTTGTCAGTGCAGAATTAGCTAAGGAATGACAGCCAGTTAAGAAGAGGGTGCGGCTACTAACATGTTGCTGCAACTCCTGCCGACCCTGATATGCATGGCCAGGTCCTTTGGAGCCAATAATGATGAGAAAAAGGATCCCATGGCTTTTACCAAAATATGTTTCTTTTCTCCTCTGAGTTGTGGTGACATGCTTGCTAGTAGCTTACTCTTTCCTATCTATCAAAGCTGTCCTGATTATAAGCCAAGGCACTCACCAAAGTCCTGTCCCCGCACCTCTCCTCCCTCTTCAGGGCTCATTAAGAAGGGGGCGCATAGGGTGTTGCTTTGTAAATGCCTCATTTCAACTCCTGATAAGCTGAGCAAAGCCAAGGGAAGCTGGAGGCAGAGGATCTAGGGAAAAAAAGATTAGAAATCTCTGTCCATCACTGCAAGGTCTACAATTAAAAGATGCAGACCTTAGAATATGCAGTTTTCCCAGATTTCCAACCCTTCCTGAATATCTTCCCATTAATTGTCCTGTTTAATTTATCACCATGTTTGCTCATTCCTCCAAGTACCTCTGAAATATGTCCACTCTCCCCTTCCATTACCTCCATTGAAATGACCACCACCTCATTGATGTTAGATTGCTCTCAAGCTGCCCTCACGCAGCAGCCAGAGGGTGACAGTGAAAGACAAATCTTTCTTGCTTAGGATAAAGACCCCATTGATCTTGTCTATTGGGACCTACCTGGCTGGCCCCTGCTACGCTCTCTAATCTCACTCCTCCAACATTGCAATCAAGCCCCACAAGCTTTTCTCAGTTTTTCTAATAAGCCAAACTCATTCCTGCTTCAGGGCTTTGCACATGTGATACCCTGTGCTTCACCTACCCTTCTCCCAATTCCCTCCCTCCTATACTCGGCCAGTCACGTTAGTCACCACTTACTTCCTTTTGGTGTGTCATTTTACTCATCAAACTCCTCTCTCCTGGAACTCAGTCATGACTGAAGTTTTGAATTTGTAGAAATGACTATTTGATTAACTCTCTTTCCCATAAGATTTAAAAGCTCCCAGAGACATCATTTTACTTTCATTTACCATTGTATTCCCAGCTCCTAATACTATGCTTGGCAATTGGGGCATGAGTAAATCTTTGTTGACAGAATAAAAAAACCATAACTTTTGTGATTATCCTACCAGCAGAGGAGGATGGTATACAAAGGAAGTACACAGATGAGAGCCCTGGCTGCAAATCCTAACTCTGTCATCTGTTGGGTGATCTTGGACCAGTTGATTTACCTCTCTACGCTTTAGTTTTCTCGTAAGTAAAAATGGGTATAACCATATTTACATGAAGTTGTGTAGATAAGAGATAACATTGCCAACTGGGCACCCACTAGGTCCTTAGTGAACTACAGACATTGCTATCATTATTGGTTATCATGCAATTTAGACACACGGGGTGGAAAGTCTTCTGGGGAGGCCACAGGCTCCTCAGGAAGAGTGACAGATTACACCCAAAAGGAAACAGATAGTAACATTTTTTATTAAATATTACAGTGGATCAAAAAGTACAAAATATCTCTTGCCTGCTATGTGATTGGGAAACTATTGGCACGTAATACAGTATCAAAAGCAGTAATAAGTACAATTTGGAAAACATACAAAATTGAGTGTTTATAGTTGGCTCAGCATTCTTCTGGTAGTGTTTAAACTAATGCAAAGGTTACTCAATAACCTCTCCATTGGGAAACTATATAATATCACTGGGCCATGTTGCTATATACAAATAATCACCTTACAGAGCATAGAGGTTACATAGCTGGAATCACCAAAAGTATACAATATTTACAACACAGGAAAGTTTAAAAAAGTATAAACAGCCAAGAGATTATGCTGCTATTCTTCAGACATATTTCAACCATGAGGAGACAGGCAGAATATCAAATACACTAACAGCCAACACTGGACTTTTAAGTGCTCAAGATAATCATTGCAATGGTGTGGGTCTCACCAGGGCAAACTCATTCCCATTTCTCTTTAAAATTGGGACAAGAGTAAAACTAGACCAGATGGGACTTGGCTGACCACCACCAAATGTGACTTTGTGGGACGATAAGTGAAGAGAAATAAACGGTTCTCTTTGAAGGCACACTACATAAAATATTTTTGTGGGACCACCTCGAAATTTCCATCAGACACACCAACACAGTGAAATACAGTACTTGAGAATTCATGCACCAGGTCAGAAAGTTGTAAAGTTAACATCGAGTTTTAACAAACCCTTCTGTATATGCCCTGATAAACAAGTGAACTTAAGAGCTTCTAGCTAGTAAATAAATAAGTCAGTCCTGTGGCAAATATTACAAGTTCGAATCACTTACTAGAATACTACTTAATTCTGAAACTCGGTTGGGCTGTTTTTTTTTTCATGTGGAGTTGCCAAACATTAAACCAGAAGTTGCATGGAAAGGTTTTTTAAAAATATTATTTAGAATCTCCAAATCTCCAATAAATCACAGACTTACTGCATTTTCAATTGCAACATTTCTTGGAAGCCACACTCAGTAAATAGATTTATGACTCCACTGCCAATTCGATTCCACAGTTTCCTTTACAGAACTACCAATAACAATGGTTTGATTGCACAAAGAAAGGCTTGTGCAATTCCATTCAATAATAAGGCCCCTTGAACTCAAACAATGCAAACAAAGCCTTATTTAAGACATTTTAAAACGTTGTTCTCAGCCAATGAAGAATTCAATGGTCTTTTTGAACAATTTCCAAGATCTCTGTTCAGAGTTTTAAAACAAATAACACACTGCTTCTGTTGGGAATACATACCCCCATTTCTCTTTATTTGTCCTGATGTTTTGCCGAGGGTATGAGCTTCCTCAGACAGAAACAGTGAGTCTCCTCTCGGAAGAGATGAGAAAAACAAAAGCTGGACTATGTTAACATTGTTTGAAAATGGTGTGATCGAATTCCAACATGATGAAACCAGACTGAAATCATTGCAGTGGAAAAAACAAATGCCCCATATTCCAAATAGGTGAGCCACTGGGGACAGATGGCTCCCCCTTTCTTTTAAGACACGAAGTCATAGAAGCCACATATGATCTAGCCCCTGTCTGCTGCAGAGCCACCGAGGTTTCCTTTTTCTTCCATATTCTCCGATTCTGTGACCATTCAATCTAGTGCAATTTTCTTATTATATGTGTCCTGGCTAGCATCTTGCCAGCTGGAATTGAGATTTTTTCCCCCTTCTAGCTTGTGCAATAGCAGGATAATCTGCAGTCACACATTTATAATCTAAAATCTACTAGTCTATCTATGGTTCTATTAAATATATATATATATATATTATTCCACAGGAAGGTAAATAATTAATTGAAGCAAATGGAACTCTTAACACTGGATCTCTACATTCTTTTGTTTCCACCTTTGGATATTAAGTATGTTACACTGAATATTTGGCTTCATATCATGGAGACATCTCAATACAAATGCACGGCATGCATGGCTTTGTTTAAGAGCCGCAGTTTCATTATCAGTTTTGACTATTTTGCAGTCGAGTTACCTATTTAGAAGTTGAAAATTGTCACCAATTTTCCCAGAATTAAATATCTCAGAGGTAAAAGAATTAACTATGGTTCTAAAGTCTACTGGTAGTGTTGCGGGAGGGGCACACTGGGTTGGAGAGTTCATCTAAGCGGTCTTCAGCAGGGATGGGACTTCGGGAGAAAATCCACTCTCTGTATCCATTGACTTTTAATTAATACAGTTTGAAAATGCATCCACCTTAATGTTACATCTCGGTAGCAAATGCAATAAAGTGGTGAGAATGACAATGGACATTCTGCACATCTTTTCACTGCCTGAGCAGCTTGACCATTTACTTCCAAACAAGAAAAGAAACCAGAAAGCGGACTGTATTGCCAGGTGGTTAAAAATATGACCAAAACCACCTTACGCGCGTGTGTGTGTGTGTACACAAAACTCATGCCCCGTAAGCCCAAAGAGGATGACTTTCCTTTTGAAAAGGCTAATCCAGTATGTCAACTATCCCCAAAGCTGTGGCCTGGGAGATTCTCCTTGGGAATGACAAGAAACCAACTCGATGAAAACAACGTGACTGCTTACTACTCAAAAGACTGAGGCTAGAGAAGCTATCAGGACTGCAGCTCCTCCTCTTCTGGCCATTTGAGCTCCATCCTCTTCCCAACCCCCTTTCCCAGACCATTTAAAGGAATTGGTGCCAATGCCAATGTAAATCATTTTGGCTCCTGTTCTAATTTCTGAAATTCCTAAAATATCTGTGCAGCCCACAAATATGTCCTCTAGACTCTGTTGTTATTCGGCAGCTTGCTGCCAGTGAGGTTTTTGTTTTTATGATTCCTCTGGTATGTAGGACAGTTTCACAGCCTAGATAAGGTAAGTACAATGCTCAATATTTTCACAGAACCCAATATTTCAAAGCAAAGCATTTGGCTGGGTAAGCAGTGTATAAGCTCTTTCAACTATGCCATTTATGAGGAACAAAATCCTTAAGTTGAGGATCTACAGAGGAACGTTCTTTGCACTATTGTGTGCTTGACTGTTTCTTTTTCATTTGTTCCACTAGAATCAGTTGCTTCAATTTGTAAACAATAACTTTACCACCCAAAGCTGCTCAAAAATAAGATGTGGAAAAATTACAAACACACGACAACTAGGACAGTCAGCCAGCCTCGAAAACAAAACAAAAACAAAAACAAAAAGACCTGCAAACAAAAGCGATACCGTTTAATTAAAAAAAAAAAAAAAAAGGGATGAGAAAGGAGAAAATGGAACTACCTGTATATAAATTAGGTGAGCAAACAGTGATACGGGTAGTTTTATGAAGCAAATATATACAGTCAATTTAACAGTGTTTACTTCTCTGGATTGTTTAATAGTGTCAAAATGAAAGATCTATTGAAGTTTCACTATACATTGCATTGATTGAAACTTGGAGAGTTTTATGAAAAAGAGGGGCATCCCTTGGCATCTGTTTGCCAGTCTTCCTTGCCCCTTCCTTTGAAATGCCTGCCCCTTTTTTGCCCAGATTGTTTTCTGACCATCCAAACTCAGATGGGGTCCTCTAAGAATTTTTTCCTAGATATTCACAAATCCCTTTACAAGGCCCACATGCGAAATGAATGATCTGGAGGTGCCTGGGCATCTGTGTTGGAAAGGAGTCATTACTGACCAGCCAAGGCTGGAGTTGTCCCACAAAAATCAGGCATGTTCACCTCCCCTCTGGGCCCCTACAGCTGGGACTGATCATAGCCCCAGATTAGAAGAAATACTGACTTCTAACTCTATAAGCCAGCCCGCCTGGGTAAGGAGTGAAGCTCTGTTAGCCATGCCGCTTTGGACTGCTGGGCGAAACTGAGCCTACAGTTTTGTACTGGGGTGCAAGGATGACAGCTGGGAAGATGGAAAGGCAGCTTGAGGATTTATAGCAGCTAAAGGGTAAATGCTGTTATGCAAAAGGTCCCCATACGAACTTCCTACAGGTGTAGCCGCAGCCAAGTGTCTGTACAGCTGCTGAGAATTTGTCGGCGATGTAAAAATTCCTCTTTGCATCACAAGCGAGTGGAAAGCCAGGGGCTGCATGAGCGGAGAAAGCACAGTCTGGTTTTTCAAGTACTGCAGAGAATGAGAATACCCAGCTGGGAGCCTGGAGTTGAGGCCCGAGTTACACAGGCTCCCGGAATACAGACCTGGGAAGATAGGGGAAGAGAGGGGAAGCTTGTGGCCTTCTGATCCGCTCCCGGAATGCCCACTGTGTGCTGCCTTGCTGCCTTCACTCTCCTGCTCAGAGGCCTTCTCCTTCCCAGAGACCTCCTTGGATGGGTCTAAGGGAGACACTGCCCGGGCCTTTTTCCCTGCAATCACAAGGTCCAAATCCTCCAGGCTGCGCTTGATTGGTCGCGCCGCCCCAATGTTCTGTGGACTCATTTTCCGGTGCAGGATTGGGTGGACCATGCCTTCCATCTTCCTGAAATTCTCTAGTCTCACATGGTGAGTTTTTCCTGATCTTGAAATTGATTCGGGGTATTTTTTAGGGCCCGACATGGTCATGGGTGATACCCGACAGGCTTTGGGGTGACAGTCTCGACTCTGGCTACCTAAGACCTGGAACTGGGAAACGCCTTTGCTCTCCTGGGGCCCTGTGGCTGAGTGAGCCAGGCCCAGGACCTTGCCGGTAGGTTTGTGCGGGTTCTTGGGAAGGCTCAGATCTGTTGGCTGATCATCTGTAGCAGATTCTGCTACCGCTGACTTTTTGTCTTGCAGGTGCAGGGATGTAAGATAATTTACATGGAGCTTTTCTTGGTGTCTGTGGGAAGGAAAAGAACTGTTTTCCGATTCCCTGTACATGTCCCTGGACGGGTATTTGGATGTCTGTTCATTATGAAGATGGTGCTCAGTATGTCTGTAGAGGCTATGGAGATGAGGGGATGAGTAGAAGTCTGCCAGGAAGCTAGGCATGTGGGAATGGGGGAGGGCCCTTTTCTCTAAGAGTTTATCCTTGCCCTCCTGAATTTCTTGCTTCAGGACATAGGAGTCAGCAAGGGGGTTAAGGTGGTGCTTGGAGAAGCTGCAGCGGTGGGGATCTGATCGACTCAGTTTCTCGTGCTTAAAGATGTCATTGATGGTCTTTCTTTCCTCTGAGGGCTTGCTTTTGAAACTCTGGACATGCTGAATCACCGATGGCCGGCTGACCGCCATATGGTCAGCGCTTTGGCCATGGTGGGCCTGGGACAAACTGGAACACAAGTCATCCCTAGCCATCAGTTTCTTTTTGCTGATCAATGGGGGTGGGGAGCCATAGGGGTAGCTGTTGGAGAGGCTGGCCCCACTTACTTGGGACAAAAGCTTTTTCTTGGCCAGTGGGGACATGATGCCTGGGTTGCCCCTGGAGTAGAGCAGGGGTGTGTAATTCAGTCCATGGTTCTCGTTCATGGGCCCCGTCAGGTCTTTGTCTTTGAACATGTCAAACGACTGGACCACAAGGACCTTTGGGGTCTGCTTGAGCGCATTGTGGATGTCCTCACTGCCCAACTGGTCCACCTTCACAGTGCAGTTGGCGATGTAATCCGCCATGGCGGGCAGTTTGTCATCCTCCATCTCATTCTGGTTTCCCAGCGGTGGCTGTGTGGTGGGGAAGCTGGGGAAGGATGCTTCTTGGAGCTCATTTTCAGAGCTCTCTGTAAAACAGCAGGGTTTAGATTCTTGTTTTGAGTCCACCAGGGCACTGGGAGAGGTGAGTGGCTGTTTGCTGGCCCCAGGGACCAAGGTTGGATCTTTTTCTGGGGCCAGAGGAGCACTTGGGAGTGGAGGTGTGGGCCCCTTCTCTCTGGCCTCCTCTGCCACCTTCTCACTGTTGGAACCTTGGTCTGTTTCATTGTCCTTCTCTGGGTCTACTCTGGATGCCAAGGGCTTCGCTGAAAATTCCTGATACCCTTCTATTTTTTTCTTCATGTCTGCTGCTGGCAGAGGCTCAGGGATGCTTTTCTGGCTTAAAGTCTCTTGTTCTTTTTCTTGCTCTGATGAAACCTGGTAACATATTTGAAAAGACAGTCAGAAGAAAACCAAATACACTGACATGTTTTGCTATGAAATAAAATATTCCACATAGCAGTTTTACTTGAAAACAGGCTTGTCAATCAGCTCCTGAAGTTTCTGTAAAGCTTTATTACTCTCCAATCATGGCTCTAAACAAAGAAATCTAAATTACAGAAACATTAGGGGAAATATGCATATTCGCTTCAGTCCCTTATGAGACACCTATCAAAATAGCAAAGTGTTATGTACTGATGGTATACAATCATATCACTCCCTGATTCTAATATATAGTTTAATTCTAAGGTTGTCTTCTTGTCAAATCAGTCAATTATCCAAATGGGTTTTAAATTACATGTTGTGTTTTATGATACTCCTGAGGAAGATTTTTTTTTTCAAGCATTTCTCTTTCAAAAATCCAACCAACCCATGTCAACAACAAACAACGAACCTACTGCAGCTCCTTGCTTTTCTTTAACAGGGCAAATCCCTTCCCAGTGTATTCAATATGATGCACTGAAGATTAGTAATGCATAAGTGTTAATAATTTCTACCCAGGGCCAGATAACAGACATGCAGATGATGCTAAAATATTGACAAAGTATGAAGATTTCTTGGCAGCCTGTCTACCTGAGGGACAGAGAAGACTAAGTCTTTCTAGGTTGCAGCAAACTATGTTTCTATTAAAGCCAAAAATGAAGTTGTCAAAATTCAGACAATCAGTGCTACCACAAATAGAGCTTTGCTGTTCAATGAAATAAATTATAGTCAATGAGATAGATGCTCCTTATTTGACCCTACTGACAGAAGTTGTGGGTATCAATTTGACGCATTTACTGCATTGTGTAGCCATGTCAACTTTAGCCTTAAAAGGTCATTTTAACTTTCCATCTGTGACCCAGCTGACTGACGAGCCCTTTCAAAACTGCTGTCATTCTGCCCTGACATGTCTTAGCACAGCAGTCACACAACAGTTGTGTTGAGCTGGTCTTTTTCCCATCCTCCTTCCATCTCATCCCTTGTTAAGAAAAGAAGTGCTTGTAATCCCAGCACTTAAGGAGGCTGAGGCAGCAGATCACCTGAGGTCAGGGGTTCAAAACCAACCTGGTCAACATGGTGAAACCCTGTCTCTACTAAAAATACAAAAATTAGCTGGGCATGGTGGCGGGTGCCCGTAATCCCAACCTGGTCAACATGGTGAAACCCTGCCTCTGCTAAAAACATAAAAATTATCTGGGCATGGTGGCAGGTATGGGTAATACCAGCTTCTTGGGAGGCTGAGGCAGGAGAATTGCTTGAACTCAGAAGGTGGAGGTTGCAGTAAGCCGAGATTGCGCCACTGCACTCTAGCCTGGGCAGCAAGAGTAAAACTCTGTCAGAAAAAAAAAAAAAAAAAAAAAAAAAAAAAAAAAAAAAAAAAAAAAAAAAAAAAAAAAAAAAAAAAAAAAAAGGAAAGAAAGAAGTATCTGCCACGTTAGCATCTTTGAGTAAGATTGAGGCTGCTGTTTTAAGAATACATGGGAATGAAAATTTTAAGAAATCACACCCATTTCATATTTTTCCTCAAATCCCCTTAAAAAATCCTTGAATTTTAGGGATGTGTTATACCTAAGAGTCTTTGCTTATCATCATTTCTTTTTCTGTTTTCGTACGAATAGCTGCCTTTTCCAGTACAAATATCATTACTTGTTCTACCTTAATAATCATCATTGGTCTCTTGAGCTTATACATGACATTAAAAATACAGAAATATGAGTATGGCAAGGGAAAATGACAAATTGCATCCAATTGTTAGTTTCTTATGGGACTATAGTTTGACACAGGACCAGGAGGGATACTCAGTCCCACTGAAGTTTGTATGATGTAGACCTGCAGTTATATTGGAGTCCCATGCTTCGGGTTGTAAAACAGGTTTAGGAAGTTTTTGAAAGCTAGGCAGAAAAAAGTAAAGGACTCTTTTTTCTAGGAGAGCATTTTATGAACTGCTTAGTATGCTAAATGTTACCTTCCCACCATGCAACTTGCAGTCCCATCACCTGAATATAGTGGATTTAACTAGAGGGAGTTTATTAACCTTTCTATCTCCATTGAGTTCACTGCTTCATATTGAAAACACCAAAAAGTAAAAAAAATGACAACAATAAAATCCAAACCAACAACCCCAAATCGAGTCAATGAGAAAAAATATACCTGGCTAATAACATGGTTCTGTGTTGGAGGTGGGAAGAGATTCGTATTATAAGGTCAGCCTTGGAGAGGGTGGGAGACTCCATGAGGTTTAGATAACCTCATCATGACAACCTTTGAAACTTGAGACACTTACTTACAGCTCCCTGAAGGGAACAGTTAGAGCCTACAGAAAGCAGACAGCCTAACAGTTTTAAAGGTTTCTATGGACTTCAGGGAGTAAGGCTCCGCTCTTGGGAACGGTCATCTCCCAAGCTGACAGGCTTCATGCATAGGCTAAGGATTCCTCCTGCCATTCACAAACCAGCCGTTTCAAACTTAATCCCCAAAGTGGAGACATTCAAGGGTCAGCTGTCCCCTTGGTCCTGTTTGTCCCCTGGTGCTTTGTGTACATATGGCAGCTAATAGAACGCATTCATCTGAAACCCTATAATAAATCACTAGGCCAAAAGTATAAAGAAAAGATGGAATGTAAGCATGCCCTTGGAATTTCCTTGCTTTTGGCCATTTATGTTGCAAGCTTGCAGATGTTTAGAAATCTGCATCATCTGGCCAGGGACGGTGGCTCACACCTGTAATCCCAGCATGCTGGAAGGCTGAGGCAGGTGGATCATTTGAGGTCAGGAATTCAAGACAAGCCTGACCAACATGGTGAAACCCTGTCTCTACTAAAAATACAAAAAAATTAGGCGTGGTGGCGCATGCCTGTAGTTCTAGCTACTTGGGAGGCTGGGGCAGGAGAATCACTTGAATTTGGGAGATAGAGGTTACAGTGAGCCGAGGTAGCATCGCTGCATCCAGCCTGGGTAACAGAGACTCCATCTCAAAAGAAAGGGGAAAGAAATCTGCATCATCTTCGTCCTTCCCCTTTTTGGTTACTAGAGCTTAAAATAATTACGAAACTTAATAAAAACAAAAAACCCCACAAATTTCTTGGTATCAATACTATCTTGTTATGTAACAATCAGTTGGGTAAGTTGATGTCTACATGGGAGGTTGGTGTGGGTTGTACATGTGGAATTTAAACCAGTGTTTAATTACAGAGCCTCTTATGTGTTCATTATAAACATGATTTTTTAGGGGGTATTTAATATCAGCACCAAAATTCCCTCTGGGGTTGAATCCTAGAACATGCTGTCTCCAAATGTGGCTGCTAAGTTGTTTTTTTGTTTTGTTTTGTTTTGTTTTTTAATGGGCGGCAAGGTTTTTTATTATTCATGTTGAAACAGAGCCCAGATCAGCCTACATGACTGGCTGTATGCTGGTGGCAATGGCTTCTACCAAAGGGCTGTTGGAGGCTGTGGGTAGCTGGGGCTTGTTTTAAAAGATTCGGAAACTACCTGTTCATATGAAAAATAATAATGGTTTCAGAGGAACCATTTCAAAATTCCCCTATAAATAATATGCACTTAAGATTTTTCTAAATTGATCTCAACCCAAGGCTGTTGTACAGAGATCAATTATGGAAGACAAACACATCTCTCAAGTTTTCAGGAGAGTCTTGCAGATACAGCACAGCGATTCCAACATCCCTCTTTCCTAGACCCCCCAAAGCATTTTTTTTTTTTGAGCTAGGGTCTCACTCTGTCACCCAGGCAGGAGTGCAGTGGTGTAATCACAGCTCACTGCAACCTTTACCTTCCAGGGCTCAGGTTATCCTCCCACCTCAGCCTCCCGAGTAGCTGGGGCCACAGGTGTGCACCACCACGCCTGACTAATATTTTGTATTTTTTTTGTAGAGATTGGGTTTCGCCATGTTGCCCAGGCTCATCTTGAATTCCTGGGCTCAAGCAATCCACCTGCCCTGGCCTCCCGAAGTGCTGGGATTACAGGCATGAGCCACCATGTCCGGCCCCAAAGTATGTTTTAAAGTCACACCAGCTCCTCAGATAGACTGGCTGTGAAATGGCAAGAAGCCATGTTTTCACAGTAAAATTCTTTGATGTTAGTGTAGCTCTGGCTCCTTCTCTCTTGAAGCCTGAGCATTTGCTATCAGTTTTCTACAGGATGTTTGCATCCTTCTAGAGTCGATTCCTGGCTTATCCCATTCGATACCAGGCACCGCATTTCAACTCATGAGCAAACTGAAAGGTTTTCAGGAATTAGGGAACTATGTGGGGAGCTATGAAGCTTAGATGTCTTGGTCTCTTCATCAAGACATCTAACTGTGCAGGTACACAGCTCAGGGCTCCAGAAGGACCTCGAGGCACGACTTGTCCTCCAGAGGTATTTATGTGGAGCACAGCAACTCACCTCTACTGCGTCCTGGGGCTTTGGGGCATTTTCTTTTTCTTTCTTGCTTTTAAGTATTTCATGTTTGATGCGTTTGGTTCCAGATACTTTTGTTTTATTCTCATTTTCCTGTGAACTGTTCTCCTGTTTCCGAGGTTTGATTGGAGGCAGGGGCTTATCTTCTTCTCCTTTAATAAACCTTTCGTATGGTAGGATTAATCTAAAAGGATAACAGAAGAGATGATCAGACAGTTCAGTGATTCCAGTAGCATCAATGCTTCCGGGGTTTACTTTCTTTTATCAATATAAGCAACTTACTAAATGACTTCATCTCCAATGACACTGCTGTACTTCTATAAACCTACTCCACACTTTACTGCCCTGTTTCCTTGGTCAAAATCAGTACCTGGTAACTTAATACTTCTCGGCAAGACCTCTTTTTAGTTTTGTGAGTCTATATACCAAGATACCAATGGAAACATCCCACATGAACAATATCTTCATCACTCCCCATGGAACCTGGCTAAGTGTCAACAAAATCACAACAATAATGCTAGCTGCTTTACCAGTCCATCAACAACTACGTACTGAGCACATACTACACGCAGTGTTCTAGGCATGGAGACACAGCCGTGAAGCAAACACTCAAAGCCTCTGAGCTCACGAAGCTTATACTCTAGCAGGTACTAGCATGTGCCAGGTACATTTAAAGATTATTTCTTGTAAACTCCACAACATATTATTCTCTTTTTAACATATGAGACAATTGAGGCCTAAAAAGGTTAAACAATTTGCCTCAGGGTCATACCATTTGTTAGAGGTGACATTTGAACCTAGTTCTGCCCATCTGAAAATATTTTATTTTCATTCATGTCGAAATACAGATGAAACATCTAAGACAAAAAGGTCAATGAGAGGCAAGCACAGTGTGGCCAAGAGACAACTGTCTTACCCCACAGCTCTGAGTGGGGAAGGGGACTCCACTGAGAGCTCTGTTTTAGGGTGCAAAGTAAAAGCCCCAGTGAGAAGGAAGGCAGACAGACTATGCAAGCCACAAAAACCAGAGGGCTGAAAATTTCAAGCATTTTAATTATATAACTTTTTAAACAAAGTACATAAAATTGCTCTAAAAAGAGAAACATCAAACAGCTCTAGTTTTAATCTGTTTTCCCTTTGCGACATAGCTCTTTATCTGAAAGGGAAAAATAGCTGATGTAATTAAAAGGGACGGATTGCATTACAATCTCAGTTTCAACTTCAGTGATTAAAGTTTTTATAATGCATTTGGTATGATTAATGACTCACTGTGGGATTAATATAAGACTCAGCCTTAAAAATATGAACTTTAATACAGCAAACATAATTTGTTTTAAATAAGACAAGTTGACTCAATGAAGAAAATGTACTTGGCTTATAAACATCATAAATCTGTTCAAATATTGGGGATCCTCATTATTTTTAAACTGAGATTCCCAGGCAAAAACTTCCTTGGTCTGGATATTGGTTTGCTCTCCTAAAAGGTGTTTCTATGCATGTTATTTGGATCTCAACTGCTTAACCATACACTATTATTCAGGTTTGAGAGTACAGATGTGGGGACATTTGTGATCCTAATATTTTGCTCTTTAATAAAATACCAATAAAATTATGGGAAAATCAGATCACAATTTATAGCATATTAGAAACAAAATTCATTTACTGAGCATGCTTGGACAAGGTATGAACAAGGAGGTGTGAATAATACTTTGGAGCCCTACATCTGGCAGTTGGCCAGCCATGAAGATCAACACAGCCCATGGGGAATAGTTATCTTCAGATCCCATTACAAACTGAGTTTAAACATGTTACAGCTGCTAAAACTGGAAACTGCCCTCCCTATGTAGACTTACTAAAATAATATATGGCTGCCAAATACCTGCTTCCCACTGCAATATTACAGTTAATGTTTATATAATAAAAAGCATAACTAAGCAGAAAAAGAGAGAAAAAAGCAATCCTGTTCATACTTGAATTTATTCTGTCTCATCTGTAAAGTCCCCAGCGTTCCCCCCAATTCCTTTTTTCTGCCTGGTTCTGCCAGGGACTTTATCCTCTTCAATATTGGCAGATTGGGGAATTTTGTCCGGGAGCAAAATGTATTGAATATTTTAAACGGGAAAGATAGTTTAAATTGACTTTAACGAAAACATATTTTATTGTTGGGACAGATAGGTTTGTTTTACTTTTGTTTTGTTGCCATGGGAACTCAAGAGCAGTGAAGTCTGGGTATTCCAATGATTGCAATTGCTGGTACCACCCTTCCCCCAACTTCATTTTCTGATGGAGACGCTGACACCATGGGGGACCCTCTTTACAGAGAAGAATGACAGCATTACCTCTGAGTGTGGGGAGGGGAAGGAGGGAAAGCAGAGAACTGGGTGGGAGAGACACCCCAGGGACCCCCAGGACCCCTCACTCTGGGTTCTGAGAGCCTTGGGCCAACCTGGCTCTCTAGATGGGTGCTAAGGAGATTTTAATTTCCTTTTCTAATTTTGCAAGTTCACAAAGCAGGGTACCATTTTCATTTCAGTTCCCTTTTTTTTTTTTTTTTTTCTTTCTTTTTTTTTTTTTTTTCTCTCTCCTTCACTCAACTCAGCAGCTGGCTAGCTGACAGCAGTAAAAAATACATTTCACTTTGCTGGTCAAAGGCCTAAAGCCAGAAGCAGGAAATCTGGAATTAAATGTTTCTTGTATCTGGAAAGAGGCATGACTAAGGTAAAACTGAATCCAAACACAAGCCCTGCTTGTTTAAGGCTTCCAGAGAGTATATGAGAGTGTATGAGTGTGAAACTCTGTGTGTGTGTGTGTGTGTGTGTGTGTGTGTGTGTGTGTGTGTGTGTGTGTGTAAAGGTCAACTGAGTGTTTTTTTTCCCCTTCTAAATCATTGAAAGATAATTATAGTGGCTTGGGGAAAAAAGCCTCCTAAAATAAAACAAGGCAGAACCTAAAAGGAAGCAAGTAGAAATATGACCAGCTAAGCTTTGAAGAACAGGGCACAGTCTCACACGGCACACAATTGCTGCCTCATATAGTGATTTCCGTTTGGTGCAATTTTCACTGAATGTTTTTTCAGTTATCCTGTCATGGTACAATACAATTACCCCACAGGATATGATCTTATCATTTGATTATTAGAAGTTTTTACAGTACAAAAGGACAAAAGCTATTATAGGTTCCTGAACATTTAAACATTCAACGTACATGTGGTACCATTAAAAACAGGTTAGCCTTAGATTAGGTCAACATTGCTCGATGTAGAAAGCTGAGTAGGTTTGTATTCTATAAAGAATTTAGTAAAATGCACCATGCCTGTGCTTTGAAGATGATTATTTCTCAAATATTTGTAGCAGAGCAAAGATTTAATCAGTTTCTAAACTGTACAGATAAAAGCAAACATTCACTCCAGCCCCAAGAATTTGTTACACAGGAGAAGTATTTTCAATGGACTGCAACTCTAAGAATGGGGGCTGGGCTTTGGGTGGGTGGGAGTGATGGGGAAGAGAAGCAAAATATTCATTAGAAAATTCAGAGAGATTTTCCCCCTCCTGATCTACATCTAGTCTGGGGATTGAAAGCTGGACAGATAAATGGGCCTTTATTACTATCCAGATTTCACATTTCAGATTAGCAAAATGCTTATTTATGATGCCATTAATGGATCTGAAATAGGTAAGCCATTATGTATTAAAAAATAACATCTTTCCATAGGCATAAGATTTGTAGCAGCATGAGATTTTATTTTTCCCTAGGAATAATACAAGAATAACATTTTCCACCCCAAAGCAGAAACAGTAGGGGGGCCTTTTGCTATCACAGAGATTCTTATTAAATTCAGTCACTGTGAAAAGCAAGATTTTTTTTTCCTCCTCATTCTTCTTTTCTTAAAAAATAAAGACGACTTAAAATCAACCCATTAAAATTAACAAATCAATGGCATTATAACCTTGATTTATTAGCATCTGAGCCACTAAATTATCATCATACATGAAATTGCTGGTTTGAAAAGATTTCGGCTTTGCTAAATCTCAAGTTGAATAATGGTGCTCAGTATACTAGGTTTTTAGATCTGTCTCATCTGATATTATGAAAAATTCAATACATTTCTCTACAGCAGAAGTCAGGGGTCAGCAAATCTATTACTGTAATGTAAGTAATCTGGCAACCTGCCAACTCTTTCTCCCTTTTATTATTTTTTTAAACACTAAGGCAGATAATTTTATATTTACAAAGTCTAAAATCCTCCAGGGCCTTGCCTCTCTTTCTCAACAAAAAGCAGCAGCCTGCA